TTTCTGAGGCTGGTAACTCTAATGAACTTATATTCTGCAGTAGAGGTAACTCTGGGTCTTCCTTTCATGTGGCGGTCCTCATGAGAGCCAGTTTCATCATAACGCTTGATGGTTTTTGCAACTGCACTTGAAGAAACTTTCAAAGTCCTTGAAATGTCCCGTATTGACTGACCTTCATGTCTTAAAGTAATGATGGACTGTCGTTTCTCTTATTTGAGCTGTTCTTGCCATAATATGGACTTGGTCTTTTACCAAATAGGGCTATCTTCTGTATAACACCGCTACCTTGTCACAACACAACTGATTGGCTCAAATGCATTAAGAAGGAAAGAAATTCCACAAATTAACTATTAACAAGGCACACCTGTTAATTGAAATCCATTCCAGGTGACTACCTCATGAAGCTGGTTGAGAGAATGCCAAGTGTGTGCAAAGCTGTCATCAAAGCAAAGGGTGGCTACTTTGAAGAATCTCAAATATAAAATATATTTTGATTTGTTTTTAAAAAAAATGGTTACTACATGATTCCATGTGTGTTATTTCATAGTTTTGATGTCTTCACTATTAGTCTACAATGTAGAAAATAGTAAAAAATAAAGAAAAACCCTTGAATGAGTAGGTGTGTCCAAACTTTTGACTGGTACTGTATGTAATCAGACTAGGGCTAACCCTGTTTGGTCGAATGGTTGATTGTTTGGTCGATAGGCTGTTGGTCGGCCGAGATTTTTTTTGTCAAGCAGTGGCAAATATATATAAAAAAATGTATGTTAATTTCTGTTAATGCATTCACTATATCATTACAGTCTTACCATTGTCATTATAGGAGTGGACACTTTGTTTGCAGAGCACACAAACTAGGCTACATTTGTGAAAAATAAGTTTGGATTTATTTCATTCCATTTACGAGTTGTCAATCTTGAGTAAGGACACGCACCTGATTATGCATAGAAGTAGGCCTAGGCTACCTGGCCTGAGCGCAAATGTAGGCCTATAAAAAAAAATTTGGGGATCTTAACTCACCATCACTGTGTAGCTTCTAAAAGTAAACATTTTCTTCGCCTCAAACAGCAAGTAAGAAACAAAGTCTGTTTTTACCTCCATTGAGAATGACATTAGTTCCTCAACGTAGCCTATTTGAAAAATCTTTCCAGCTCTCTCCCTTTTAATAACCACTCAGCATGAAAGGGGAAACAAATGGCATGCTCTGATCCGGTGGAAATGTCATAAAATAGGCCTACCTGATTACTTCTTATCCCTTGCGCAAATAGTCTACAGCGGTGTCTGTCTGTCCAGAGCTCACTGGCACAGGAAACTCTGAGGGCCCAGAATATTTTATACAATGTTGCAAGTTTGCTAGCACCATCAAGCTGGACCAAGTTAATAGTTGATACAATGTTTCAAGTTCCTTGCAGACAGTCCATGCATGGCCAATTTAATTTATAGGATATTTATTTTTATCAGGATATTTTCTACCTGCAGTCTGCAAAGTTTTTATTTGTTGGTTTATGTAGGCTATTCTTACATGCTGGCAATGGCAATAGAAGTTACTTTTAGATTTTTATCATTTTCATTTAAATATAATTTTGATTATCCACATGATGTTGATTTTGAGATATGAAGACTTTATTATAAATTAAATGAAACTGTTCCACGAAAATGTGCATATGAAAATCATAACTGGCATGCAGAGCAGTAGAAATGGTACGATAACTTGGCAATCCAAATGGAAAAGGTTGCCGACCGCTGGTTTAGCCTATTACCAGCAACTTTAGGAGTGTAATGTCAGAATCTGCAATGACCAGCAGCAGCGGCAGCGGGTGGAGGACGGTTGGGAACAGGTTTTTTCTTCTGGTTAGGCTACATTGATCTCTGGCTCCCTCTTTAGTACATTTTCGTCTTAATTTTTAATTGTAGTGCTTAACGCATCAGACAAGCTCAGTAGCACACATACAGTTGATTCTATTCAAATACAGTGGGGAAAAAAAGGTATTTAGTCAGCCACCAATTGTGCAAGTTCTCCCACTTAAAAAGACGAGAGAGGCCTGTAATTTTCATCATAGGTACACGTCAACTATGACAGACAAATTGAGAAAAAAAAATCCAGAAAATCACATTGTAGGATTATTAATGAATTTATTTGCAAATTATGGTGGAAAATAAGTATTTGGTCACCTACAAACAAGCAAGATTTCTGGCTCTCACAGACCTGTAACTTCTTCTTTAAGAGGCTCCTCTGTCCTCCACTCGTTACCTGTATTAATGGCACCTGTTTGAACTTGTTATCAGTATAAAAGACACCTGTCCACAACCTCAAACAGTCACACTTCAAACTCCACTATGGCCAAGACCAAAGAGCTGTCAAAGGACACCAGAAACAAAATTGTAGACCTGCACCAGGCTGGGAAGACTGAATCTGCAATAGGTAAGCAGCTTGGTTTGAATAAATCAACTGTGGGAGCAATTACTAGGAAATGGAAGACATACAAGACCACGGATAATCTCCCTCGATCTGGGGCTCCATGCAAGATCTCACCCCGTGGGGTCAAAATGATTACAAGAACAGTGAGCAAAAATCCCAGAACCACATGGGGGGACCAAGTGAATGACCTGCAGAGAGCTGGGACCAAAGTAACAAAGCCTACCATCAGTAACACACTACGCCGCCAGGGACTCAAATCCTGCAGTGCCAGACGTGTCCCCCTGCTTAAGCCAGTACATGTCCAGGCCCATCTGAAGTTTGCTAGAGTGCATTTGGATGATCCAGAAGAGGATTGGGAGAATGTCATATGGTCAGATGAAACCAAAATAGAACTTTTTGGTAAAAACTCAACTCGTCGTGTTTGGAGGACAAAGAATGCTGAGTTGCATCCAAAGAACACCATACCTACTGTGAAGCATGGGGGTGGAAACATCATGCTTTGGGGCTGTTTTTCTGCAAAGGGACCAGGACGACTGATCCGTGTAAAGGAAAGAATGAATGGGGCCATGTATCGTGAGATTTTGAGTGAAAACCTCCTTCCATCAGCAAGGGCATTGAAGATGAAACGTGGCTGGGTCTTTCAGCATGACAATTATCCCAAACACACCGCCCGGGCAACGAAGGAGTGGCTTTGTAAGAAGCATTTCAAGGTCCTGGAGTGGCCTAGCCAGTCTCCAGATCTCAACCACATAGAAAATCTTTGGAGGGAGTTGAAAGTCCGTGTTGCCCAGCGACAGTCCCAAAACATCACTGCTCTAGAGGAGATCTGCATGGAGGAATGGGCCAAAATACCAGCAACAGTGTGTGAAAACCTTGTGAAGACTTACAGAAAACGTTTGACCTGTGTCATTGCCAACAAAGGGTACATAACAAAGTATTGAGAAACTTTTGTTATTGACCAAATACTTATTTTCCACCATAATTTGCAAATAAATTCATTACAAATCCTACAATGTGATTTTCTGGATTTTTTTTTTTTTGTCTGTCATAGTTGACGTGTACCTATGATGAAAATTACAGGCCTCTCTCATCTTTTTAAGTGGGAGAACTTACACAATTGGTGGCTGACTAAATACTTTTTTCCCCACTGTATAGGGTGTCTATTTATGGAAAAATACACATTAAAAAATCGATTGGTTGAAAGAACAGACGACTCTCGGTCGACCAAGATTTTTTTTTAGTTGGGGACAGCGCTAAATTAGACACAGCCTCTGCTGTCATCCAGTGCGGCATTTTCTGAGAACACAGTCCAATCAGTACTGTCAAAGCAGTCTCGCAGTGCGGATGACTGCATTATGATGAGCAATGCTTAGCAGAGCCTTCTGAATAGACTTATAGACATGGTTAATATCGCTAAAGCAAAGATATATTGTTTTACTACGCCTTGTAGAGTGTACAAAACATTTCAGAACATCTCCCTAATATTGAGTTTAAACAATTTGCATGACCGTTTCCGTATGTACAAAGGAAATGCAAATGACATCATTTGTTTGCTGGAGCCAAGGCTTTCAACTGACTCTCTTAGGGGAAGGCTCATCCCCCTTCCCTACAAGTACTGATCAGCTTGAGATTTTTGATCTGGAACCTTCCATCGTGAAACAGGAGATTTGTGTGGTGTAAATGAACCGACTGTATGCAGAATAGTCCCCAAAGTCTCCAATGCTATTTGTGAACTGAAAGACAATTACATCAAGTTCCCTGATGCTGCTGCCCAAGCCAACTACAAGGTGGAGTTCTATGAATATGGGAACTTCCCTAGAGTCATTGGCTGTATAGATAGATGTCATATTCCCATCAAGTGTCCCTCTACAGTAGATGCTGAGGAGTACAGAAATCGTAAAAACTGGTTCTTAATAAATGTACAAAGTGTGTGCACTTCCAATTTATACTTCTCCAACATTGTTGCATGTTGGAATCTCATGACTTAAGGATTTTCCAAAACTCCTATTTGTATGCTCAGCTTGAAGGCGGACAACATAGCGGAATCATACATGGTGACTGTGGTTTTGCACAGACCAACTTCTTGTTCACCCCCTATCTTCATGTAGGACCAATAGGACCTGAGCAACAACGTTACAACCAAGCTCATATCCGCACCAGAAGTGTAGTGGAGCGCATATTTTGTGTATGGAAGAGTTGTTTCCAGTGTTTAAGAAACACATTGCCATTCAACCAAGAAGATGCTGCATTGTCATAAATGCAACAGCAGTGTTTCACAATTACCTCAAACAGCATGGCTGCCAGATCCTCGCATTGAAGATGAGGATGACCCAGATGTTCCCATGGTTGAGGCAGTAATGGACTAACCTGATGAGATGCTTTTGCCATGCAGCACTTCTCACAACAAAGATAACTCAAGTGATTGAAGCAAACAATAGCCATGGATTGGTAACAAAAAGGTTTTCATTCACAAATTGAAATATCGGGACCCCGAACGAGTGCTGGTTTGAGAAGAACATTGGTACTGCTACCTCTTCAGGTTTCTCTCCTACTCCTTCATAGCCAACTCAACATGAAGAATTCACATCTTCATATCAGGTTCTTCTTTTAAATACATTAGTTTGTGCTCATGAAATTCCATGGCCAGTTTCTCATGCATGCAGAGCCTCTTTGTCTTTGTCCTCCGGCCTGGTTTAGTGACACAATCTTCCCTCCTGGCTGCTGCAGATGTAGTGGGCTGACCTTCATCCTGTCTAATCCCATCCAAGCTATGGTGATCATCTGCCTCTAGAAAATGATTACATTGCTGCATTAGAGAATATTATTTATTCAAGAGTTGAGTTCATTACATAATTTTTATTATGGGAGTGCATGAGATGACTGACAACATTCCATTTCCCCTGCAGTCTGGGGATTGCACATGTTGAATGAATGTGTCCTACCAAATTAGGATTGGAACGATCCCCCATCTGAACTGTCCAAATGGTCATTATCGGGGATACCTTCCAGGGGATGCTGGCTATCAATGATCCCGGTCAACAAGTCCCCCAGCTCATCTGTCTCCGGTCTTAATGGGGGTCCGTCACCAGTCTTGAAACTCTTCCTACGAGCAACAGCATTTGTCTTCTTTAAGTAGATTATGTTTTTCCACAGGACCTTAGAAAGACAAAACAATATAGAAATGATATTAGTAATTATGTATGATATTGTTTGTATTAGATTTCTGTCACACAAATACATTTAGGCCCCACTGTGTTGTGTTACACAAGAAAACTAACATTTTAACGTGACTGATTAGTAAAAGTGGGCCAACAATAAATACAGTATCTTACCTGAAGTTGTTGTAGCATCCTTTTGTTTACTTTTTCATTTGAGTTTAATTCATTACAAATGGTAGTCCAGACATTATTTTTCTTGTAATCTGTTGATGAATCATGCTGTTTGTTCACGATAATTGGGTGGTTTGACACAATTGTGACCCACCACCTGGATTCGGTCCTATGTACCAGAATTTGAAATTGTGTTTTTCACATTGGATAAAAGTAGAGACTCAGAGCACAATTTGCTTTAAGAGGGATTTTACAAAGTCACTGAAATTCTTTGAATGTTTTATTTTAACCTCCATCCATTGCTTGGTTTTAGGTGACTTGCTCCAATTCCACAAAAGGCTTATGTATTAGTGTCCTATCCCTGGTTTTTGAAACATCCTCAGGTCAGCACCAAGTGCACATTATTAATCTAATTAGGCTTCACAAAGATTAACTGGTTAGTCCTTACTTACGGTGAGGGAAAAAAGTATTTGATCCCCTGCTGATTTTGTACATTTGCCCACTGACAAAGACATGATCAGTCTATACTTTTAATGGTAGGTTAATTTGAACAGTGAGAGACAGAATAACAACAAAAATATCCAGAAAAACGCATGTCAAAAATGTTAAAAATTGATTTGCATTTTAATGAGGGAAATAAGTATTTGACCCCCTCTCAATCAGAAAGATTTCTGGCTCCCAGGTGTCTTTTATACAGGTAACGAGCTGAGATTAGGAGCACACTCTTAAAGGGAGTGCTCCTAATCTCAGCTTGTTACCTGTATAAAAGATGCCTGTCCACAGAAGCAATCAATCAATCAGATTCCAAACTCTCCACCATGGCCAAGACCAAAGAGCTCTCCAAGGATGTCAGGGACAAGATTGTAGACCTACACAAGGCTGGAATGGGCTACAAGAAGATCGCCAAGCAGCTTGGTGAGAAGGTGACAACAGTTGGTGTGATTATTTGCAAATCTCCCTCGGCCTGGGGCTCCATGCAAGATCTCACCTCGTGGAGTTGCAATGATTATGAGAACGGTGAGGAATCAGCCCAGAACTACACAGGAGGATCTTGTCAAGGATCTCAAGGCAGCTGGAACCATAGTCACCAAGAAAACAATTGGTAACACACTACGCCGTGAAGGACTGATATCCTGCAGCGCCCGCAAGGACCCCCGGCTCAAGAAAGCACATATACAGGCCCATCTGAAGTTTTCCAATGAACATCTAAATGATTCAGAGGAGAACTGGGTGAAAGTGTTGTGGTCAGATGAGACCAAAATTGAGCTCTTTGGCATCAACTCAACTCGCCGAGGAATGCTGCCTATGACCCCAAGAACACCATCCCCACCGTCAAACATGGAGGTGGAAACATTATGCTTTGGGGGTGATTTTCTGCTAAGGGGACAGGACAACTTCACCGCATCAAAGGGACGATGGACGGGGCCATGTACCGTCAAATCTTGGGTGAGAACCTCCTTCCCTCAGCCAGGGCATTGAAAATGGGTCGTGGATGGGTATTCCAGCATGACAATGACCCAAAACACACGGCCAAGGCAACAAAGGAGTGGCTCAAGAAGAGGCACATTAAGGTCCTGGAGTGGCCTAGCCAGTCTCCAGACCTTAATCCCATAGAAAATCTGTAGAGGGAGCTGAAGGTTCGAGTTGCCAAACGTCAGCCTCGAAACCTTAATGACTTTAAGGAGAAGATCTGCAAAGAGGAGTGGGACAAAATCCCTCCTGAGATGTGTGCAAACCTGGTGGCCAACAACAAGAAACATCTGACCTCTGTGATTGCCAAAAAGGGTTTTGCCACCAAGTACTAAGTCATGTTTTGCAGAGGGGTCAAATACTTATTTCCCTCATGAAAATGCAAATCAATTTATAATATTTTTGACATGCATTTTCTTGATTTTTGTTGTTGTTATTCTGTCTCTCACTGTTCAAATAAACCTACCATTAAAATTATAGACTGATCATGTCTTTGTCAGTGGGCAAACGTACAAAATCAGCAGGGAATCAAATACTTTTTTCCCTCACTGTACCTTAGTCTGGGACTCCCTGGTCTAGAACTAATTCATCTGAATTTAAGCAACGTCAAAGAAAGCCTTTTTTTTTTTACTCTGGATTAATTTAAGTAGGATTTATTTTGGTAAAAAAAAAACATGACTCCATTCCCTGCCTCAAATACACATGCTGTTCACCAGTCTCATCAGTCAACCTCTCCGATCATTTTCATGATGTCCATCCGGTTTGTTTCTATATGCCATATCTTTCTAACTGTGCTCTTTCACAAAACCTCTGAACCTATAACCTATATACTTATTATGGACACAGTATGCTTTACATTAGTTATCTTGTTGCTTTTAGTTGTTGTTAGTTGTTATTAATCCCATCCTTCAGCTCCATTCAACACCTCTATCGCTTAACACCATCCATATTGGATTTCTATTTGCCATATATTTTTCAAATGTACTGTGATGTTTCACCAAAGTTCTGAACCCTTCTATTCTCATTGTTTCTACAGACTGTAAATTGAAAATAAACATTTTTGCTAAAAGCATTATTATATTATTGATCGATTGACTATGACTTTTCAGATCACCCAGTAGTGCTATCTGCAGGGTTAGCTCCAGGTAAATATTGCAATCCTTCAGCCATTCCTGGACCTGTGACCAAAAACAAGCTACAAATGGACAGTACCAAAACAAATGATCTAATGATTCTGTCTCTTCGCAGCAAAATCTGCAGAGCTGGGAAGATTGTATCCCCCATATACTGTAAATAACATTCTATTGGTAGCAAGAATTTTGTATAATAATTTAAATTGAAAAATTCTAAGTTTTGAATCCGGCGTCGTTTTGCGTATCAGTTCATAAACACTATGCCATGGAATCGGTACATCAAAAATCTCTTCCCAACTATTTTGCAATCTATATGGGATGGCTGTCAATCCTTTGGTCCTTAAATGAAACTGGTATACTTTTTTATTATCACAATTTTCTTTAACCAATTATGTTCTTTACGTAGGGCCGACAGACAAGTTCCTTACTTTTTCCCCCTTCCACTTTCCTCTTCTTTTTGCGGTAATGCTGCAGTTATTTGGTTGTAATTTGGGGTAGAGCAGACATTTCCAAATGTTTTTGTTAGCTGCATGTGCGACATAACTCCACCAGTCCTACCTATGATATCATTTACGAAGATTATATCTTTTTTAAACAATTAATTGTTTTCTTTTTATTAATTAGTATATTTGAGTTTAACCACAATATTTGTTGCATTATTTGTTCTGTCGTTTCTGGGGGATTAAATTGAAATTGCAACCAACTTTCTATGGCTTGTTTTAGAAATAGTGATATTTGGGAGATTATTTCCTTTTCAAATAACTGAAAGTGAGAGGTTGTGATCTGAATAAAGGGAAAAAGGCCATTCTTGAACATGGGGTGAGACAATCTTACTAATTTGCTAGAGAACCAGTTCGGATTTAAGTATAACTTTTGTATGACTGAAGCTTTTAGTGATAGGTCTAATGCTTTAATATTTAATAATTTCTGTCCCCCGAATTCATATTCATTATATAAATAGGCCCGTTTAATTTTGTCTGGTTTGCCGTTCCAAATAAGATAGATTCTTTTTTTCTCATATATATATATTTTTTAACTGTTCACTAGGCATAGGCAAGACCATAAGTAAATAGGTAAACTGGGATAATACTAAAGAGTTAATCACAGTGATTTTTCCACAAATAGACAGGTATTTACCTTTCCATGGTAGCAAGATCCTATCTATTTTTGCTAACTTTCTATTGAAATTCATTGGAGTGAGATCATTTATTTCATTTGGGATATGTGTTCCGAGTATATCCACATCATCATCAGACCATTTTATTGGTAAACTACATGGTAATGTAAAAAATTTATTTTTTTGTGATCCAATACTTAATATAGTACATTTATCATAATTTGGTTATAATCCAGATAGGTTAGAAAATGTATCTAGATCCTCTATGAGGCTGTGGAGGGATTCAAGTTGTGGATTTAAAAGAAAACATGAATCATCAGCGTACAATGACACCTTTGTTTTTAATCCCTGGATTTCTAATCCCTTGATATTATTGTTGGATCAGATTTTAATAGCTAACATTTCGATGGCCATAATAAATAGATATGCCGATAGTGGACAACCTTGTTTTACTCCTCTTTGACAGTATGCTTTTAATGTTAACTTAATGATGATTTGAGTGCTTCAATATCAGCCCACCCACATTTCTGCAGGCCCACTCACAAACTAATTTCTGGCTACGCCACTAGGGAGTTGGACAGAGGTGGAGAGGGAGAGGGAGAGGGAGTGAAAGAGTGAGTGGTGGAGGAAGTAAAAGGGAGTGGAAATAGGTGATAGGGAGAGGGGAAGGAGAGAGTTAGAAGAAAGGAGGAGGCAGAAAGTGAGATGGAGACGCAAAGTGGTAAGCTGCCTCTTGCACACATTGCCCACTGTGCACAGACATACAGACACACACACATGCACACTATTCAGAAGCATTTAGATACCATTTCACTCAGTGGCGGTCAGTGCCGTTTATGATGAGGGAGGAAGATGCATTTTTTCATGAGCATGGCCTTACTTCTATTACAGAATTTTGGAAGACTGTCATATTCCATTCACCCAGTTCAATGTAACATCGATAGGTTCACTACATAATACTTGAATTTTCCCTTTACCCATCATGAGGTTGCTACAACCTAGCCTATAAATTAAAGTTTACAACGTAGGTGCACACAGGTCGAGAGAAAATTTGAGATGACAGTGACACATGGACAGGCAGTGACACATTCAATACCGCCTTGCACA